TGCTGACATCCTCCAGTTCAGTCAGAATACAATATACTCTTCATATACTGAGAAAATTATGTACAAGACTAATGCAATAAACCATGTACGAATTCAACAAAGATACATACTTTGCTTAAAACAGTAAGTGCAGTGAACTTGGGATGACCAGGGCCAAGGACATAAATGAGAAAAATGCAGGATCCGTACTAATGGAAGCATCTCAAAGCAAGGCTGGGGCCGAGTCACATCGATTGTATTGAAGCAGTATATAGGTCTTGTCAGTCTTAAAGTATAAATACACACCAGAGAGAGAAAAAGGACATGAAGAACCTCCTTCACTAAAGCACATGCTCTCAAATTCAGGACTTAAACCATTAAATGGCATCACAGACCAGCTGAGGCAGGGACTTCTGGAGATCGCGTAGCCCGGTGCCCCTGGTCCACATGGTCAGCAAGACTTCCCCAAAGGAGTCCAATTTGTTCCAATTGCTGTGCTTCAGTAAGCTGAAGGAAGAACAGTATTATTGATTTTGCTTTTTTTCCCAAAACAATACAATGTTTACGCACGTATTTTCTGATCATTTGCACCCAATTTCAATGAATTCCCAGCTGCTGTGCTGAAGATCACAGTCACTATTTCTTTTTGTTCTGATATGGTTTTTCTCAGTGCTACACAAGTTTTCTGGCTAACAGCATCCATACTGTAAGAACATAACAGTGCAAGGAAATTGATATGGTAGAGTTTACAAATAAATAAAGGTCACAACATTTGGGGCAGGGATTGTGTCTCCTCTGTTTGAAGAATTTTCATTCCTGTACTCAAAATAATTATAGTATATTCTGTGGGGTGAAACTTATGTATTTTTTTTAAAATGTGCAGAATTCTGGAGACCCTCAGAATTCAGAAAATACAGCAACCCCCATCGGTGTTATCATTACCTTCTTGAAACAAACTCAGAAGACCTGACAAAGGTGCAAAATACAACTAGATATGGCACTATGACAGAAGACATGAAGAAATGGTGTGAAAAAAAATTCATAAAAATGTAATCTTAGCATAGACAAGGGTTACATTTAACATAGGAAGAAGTTCACAACAGTCCATCTCTGGGGAAACAGGTAGTGGGCAGCAACATACCAATGACCACGTGAAGCAGTGCTTCAGCGAAGGAGAAACTGAGAACCAAGCTACAAGCAGACTGAGAAACCACAGAGGGAAGTAGTGTGATCACATACAAAGTCCTCAACGTGATCCTCAAGAGAGGACCCACCATGCTCACAGAACCAGGATGGTAACCAGCAGTTAAAAAAAAAAAAAAATTAAAAAGGCAAAAAAAAAAGGTGTCACACAGGGACTACTGTAATAAAACATTTTTGTACAAAATTATTTCAGACACAGAGCAACTAGTCATCACCTGATTAGAATGCAACATATGTTCCATTAGACAGAGCTACCAAACGTCTGTACACTCAGCTGCACTGGGGATAATAAGCTCCCATTTGCTATAGGCACTGTGTGTTCTTTTCGCTTTACTTCTAGTGGCAATTAACATCCCTGTTATTAAGAAAATTGAGCAAAAAGTGGAAGACAAACACACTCATTTGCGACACTGAAGAAACAAGATCCTTTTACATGTGCCCATTTCTTCAAATGTGTTTTTACCTCTGAAGCTCTTTTAGATAGAGTGAAACAAATCAACCCTTCCTCCTAACTTGTCATTTCCCAAACTTCTCAGGCAGAAGCCCCACGCAACTCTCACAGGCACTTTATGTGTGTAGGCTTCTTTTGTCTCCTTGGAGTGGATGCTGTCATCCCAAATTAGATTCTGACCTCTAATTTGGGACCCACATCCCAAAACCTGCTACTGGAGATAAAATCTGACTTGGCATATGCTCTCTAAAAAGCAAAGAAAATTTTCTCTGACAAAGAGTTAAAAAAAAAAGCCCAAATACTTAAGAGCACGAAGAATACTGAACATTTAAATGCATGTAAGCAATCCAAATTATCAGACAAGAAAATTCACCCCCAGTTAAGGCAAAGACCACCAAACTCCAACAATCAATGAAATTTTTTACCTCAAGCCTCCAAAAATTATCAGGTGGAATACTGGGGGCAAATTCAAGGAATGGAAGAGATACTTGAGGCCTGCACGAGAGCTGTGCAGCAGCTGGATAGCACGTGGAGGTGACCTGCCGGAGGGGTGATGGTGTAGAAAGAAAAATAAAGAAAGAGCAGTTTATTTTATTGTGGGGAGTGAGAGGTCATAGTTTTTGCATAGTTGGAATGCTATAAACCACGGTGGTCTTCACACAGTTTAGTACAGCCTGCCACATCCTAATGGGATTGTACTGGATGTTTTAATTTCACAGGAGAATATAAAGTGGAATTTGTGGAATTACCTGGCTTCTGCCAATGTCTCAACCCCAAGCAGCACAAGCAGCAGCGTTATCTCTCTTTCAACCAGTGCTCAGTCCTCATCTTCTGCCTGCAGTCAGCAGCACACGGAGAACTGCGTGTTACTTATTTGCAGTTGCAAAGGTGGTTTTTTTTCCCCTACTTTTCTCTCAGCCTGAGTTTACAACCAAGTTCCTGGGCTGTAATACATGTGTCCTAGCCCTGTTCTGCAGATAGATGTCTTAGCATTCGTCCTCGTGCAGGGCTTGGGATGCACCACCTTTGATGCAATATATGACACCAGAACCAGATAACATATGTCAATGCCAGAAGAAAGAATGAGAAGGTTTTGGCTGTACAAACAGAAAAATTTGGGACTTTCAAATAAAAGAGCTAAAGGAATGTGCAAGATTTAAGCAGTCTTGGCACATATGGTACAAAAGCAATCTGAGGTGAATGACACTCCTGTCACAGACTTTTGTGGCAGGCAGGGAAAGACAACAGGATGCTGACACTGGCTGATACACTACTCTTCATTTTCTGTGCTAAATCAACATTTAAAGAACACACTTTATGTTTGCAGGTAGACAGCTGTAGCATCAATAATCACTCAGAGAAGGCAAGGTGTTTTGAATTATCCCAGGAAAAATGAGGGAAAATATCCAGAAGACCCTGCATTCAGGTGTGGCCCTCCCAGCTCACTGGTGCTAACAATACTAACAATCTTTTGGCAGGTTTTTTTTAAAGTTCCATTTATATATAAGGGAGTTAAAAATCCATTAGCAACAAGTGGCAGAAAAATACTGTTGTAAGACATAATCAGTCTGAACAGAAGAACCTGATCCATGTCTGTTCCTGCATTTGGAAAACCAGATTTTCCCAGGGCAGACTGTGGTAACCTTTGCTCATTCATGTTGCCTATATTTGGATGCACAGTGTGTTAGTTCAGAACTTGTTGAGGCTTGTAGACTTGCAGAAGAGTTCTTTGGACTTCGTCCTCTGGCTGGCTGCAAACTCAGATGAAGGCTTGGAAGCAAAGCAGTGAGGAGGTCAGATGTGCAGAATGGGAGAGGCTGTCCAGCATCAGTGCAAGGTATCCCCTAGAGCGACACAGATCCCTCCTTTCACCTTCCCTCCTTGCATACAATGTCCAGTAAATTCTACTGGAAATTCCTTGAACCAAAAAAATGTTTTGGACGTTTAATGGCTTACTACAGTTGCAACTCTGTCCTTAGTTTGAAGCACACTGCAGTTGTTCTTGGACATTCTTGTATTTTTCTCTGTATTTTTGTTTGAAAAAGGACATTCCAGCCTTGTGTAACTACCTCCTAGAAGCAATTACTATTAGTCCCTAGAAAGGAAACGCAGTATTATATATTGCGCCCTGCTCAGAGAGACTGGAATAGAAATACCTTTGAAGATTAGGGCCTCAGTAACACAATCGCACTGGCATTGAGAGGACAGCAAAATGAGGCCTGTCCTCATTCACCTTAAGACAAACTATTCCTGGCATAGGGTGTATAACAAACATTTTCCAAAATTATCATTGCATAATGATCAGCACAGAGATGAAATAACTGAGAAGGGGCTGAGAAGCCTAAATCCCTCAGCGATGTGCACATCAGATTTGAGAAACTGGAGCAGCTGTTGCATCTCTACAAATTCAGAAGGCTCCTACCACAAGAAATAAGAACCTAACTTGTTAAAGCAGTTTTTATTTAAGTATTTGGAGGGAAACTTTCATATCATGAGTAAAAATACTAGATTTGAATGCTGTTAAAAAAAAAAAGTCAAGATGATGGGCTCTCTGTGCAAACACAGCAGTTTCCGATGGAAAGGCAAGGCGAGGGTTTTCATAACATACTCCCTTTCAAATAAAAAAATTAAATGCTAGTTAACTGCAGTACATGTCATCATTTTTTATACAGTCAAGAAAACGAAAAATAAAAAAAAAGCAATTTAAGAGAACGCAACCTACAATGGAATAAATTCATTCGCAGCAGAGACAGAATAAGACTGCTTTTATGAAAATTACAAAGCAACATGATACAACAAAAAATAGGGTGTGGGTAATTTTCCACTAAGATTAAAAATGAAAAACAAAAAAAAAATTCACTTTTTGAACACCATTATTATTCAAACACATATGAAGTTCCAACCTAGTTTTTTTCTTATACATGGGAAACACTGTTAAAGTGAATCTTCAAGAGTGAAAAGGCACCATGAACTGTTGGCTGATACCTTTAACGCACACTCAAGAAACAAGAAATGATCTGGCATGATGCAAAAAATCATTAAGTGTTTATATATATTCATATATCTTTTCATAAAAAAAAAGCGGCAACAAGTCATTACTTCAGTGCCAAAATGTACTTTTGTCTGGCTGACTCACTCGTTACGATGATTTCTCACTTAGACCTGTATGCTATTTTTATACAGTGGTGAAAGTGGGTGATTTTGCATTGTTGCATTTCATATTAGATTGGTAAACCAAGCGTCTTCTAGGTTCTGAGAAGCCAATCCTATGAAGAATTCCTAAACTCTACGCAAATGGCATAATTAAATGCACTGTCTAGAATGGAATACTCATCTGTACGATGTGGCAATTCCACTGGATTCAGTTTGATATGTAATGTCTTGTAGCAGATGTTATAACAAAAATAACTTTTGCTTTTTGATTTACCTCACTGAGGCCATTAATGCTGTTCCTATAGTTGGTTTTCTGGAGTTGGATGACACTTCACTGCTGTCCAAAATGAGTTTGAACCTTAACCCTCCAGAGTTTGTTCACTTTGTTGCTTATATTATTGCACTAGCTACTAAAGTCTTATATCTTCCTATATAAATCTAATTGTTCAGAGTGCAGATTCTATATTTAGATAATGAACTGTATGAAATAAATAAAATAAGGGGATTTTCTGGTCAGAGTTGCTGATATGTTGAATACCTTAATTATTTCTAAAGTAAACAGTTTTGGTGTATATTCTTAAAAACCTATGGTCATTCAGCATAAAAGCCTTGACGTAATACTTTAAGATTGGATTTGTTTTCCTTCTCAAAAATGCATCAAAGAATCGTTTTAAATACAGAATCTGTGAGGTTTCCTACAAATTCATCTAAATCGTAATACAAACACAGTTTGTAATTCAGATAATATAGAAAGTTCTCTAGTGTCCGTTGAAGTAAGGTCCCCAAAATGCAGTCTGTTTTGTTTCTGAATGAGAAAACATTGCAAAACATTAAGCAGTTCCACTGGCTGAATAGGAGAACTGAGGAAAATGAGGTCTTCTCTCATTATCTACACAATCCATGCTGTCATCTGAAAAATGAAAAAACACAGTAGACAACATTTGCTACCTTTTTAATTCTAAGTAAGCAAACAATAAGATAACACATGGTCAAGTTATTCCAGAAATGTCACTGATGCCTTTTTCTTCTACAACTTGAAAGGACAAAGAAATGGGAAGTGTTACATCTCGCCCCATTAAATGGGCATCACAGAAGATCCTGGTTGCTGTATGTAACCAGTTGTTTGGATGTCCTTTTAAAATTGCTAGGAGCTGCATTGCTTAAATCCATATTTAGTGTTCTGAATTTCTGGCAATTGCTATTTCAGAGCATCAAACATACTCAGCTACCATGAAAATAAAATATATTTTGATTGAATATAGATGTTAGTCCGTACTCAATTGACTGCTTGCATATACACAGTGTGCATGTAGATGTACACACGCAAAACTCATGAACAGAATTATTTTCCAGTGGGAATGTGCAGATTTGGAAAATACAAGAGTACAAATAATTTCACTATCTTCTAAATAAGGTTTTAATTTCCCAAATTGGAAAGACATGTGGAAAGTTTCACATCAGTTTACTAACTTCTTGGTCAAATACCTATAAGGAAAACCAGCAAATTTAAACTGATGCTTTTTCACATGGTCTAAAGAGACCAGGTAACATTACAGCAAATTTTTTCTGGTCGTCTGGAGAACGTAGTGGGCAACAATTGGGAAAACTTTACCTTGGTCAGGAGGAGTGATTGTTATCATCTGTGCTGTAAATTCTTCATCAAAGTATCTTGTGTCTGTTTCAGATGTAACTTGTGGCTTAAATGGAGGTACAAGCTGTGGAAAGAGGAAAAACACTGTCCATTTACAGGTTCTTGAACTACTGTTTGGAACAGACAAAATTTGAACTAGAGTTATAAGATACAGTGCCTTTTCCTACATCCCTAAAATAAGTTAAAAACACCTGGTTCATAAAGAAGGAATCATATACAGTAGAAAGTATTTATTTAGGTGTGCACTTCCGGTTTATGGGGCATTTAAGTAATTTTGCCTCTAGGATTTAATTGCACAAAGAAAATCCTACAAAAACCTAATGCTTCGTCAAGTAATAAACTGTTTATATATGTTTAAATATAGGTTTCCCACCTAATTATATGAAAATTGCCAACTGCATCTAGCCTGATTTACACTTGAGGAGGATGAAAAGGAGTAAGAAACATGCTCAGTAATACCAAATTGATCAGCCAGACTTGTGTATCACCACAACAGTTGCAACGTTCACAAAAAAATTTCAGCTGCAGAGCTACTGTGCCCATGCAGCTCCAACGGCTCCTGTTCTGTAGGTCAGACCAAGCTGGGAGAATTCAGGACAAGGCAGCAGCAACATGAAGCATTTATATTCCAGGTCCCCAAAAGCTGTTTGATATCAACTCTGAACTTAGAAAACCTAGAGTGCTTACAAAAAGCCAAGCACGCTTAGCAGAGAACATCCTCCTCTTGGTACACGGTGAGTTGTGCTATTTGGGTTTTATCCTTGATGCTCGCTTGGGCAGACGGGCTAGAAATCATCCATGTGTACCTAGGCAAGCTCTGGCAAGAGGAACTCCAGATGGAGCAGAGCTGCTCGGCTGGGGCTGAAGGAGGAGCGGGCCTGGGAAGCGGGGTGGCAGAGCTGGTTGCATACAGATGCACAGAGCTGGAACACGTACAATTTTGGAGGGCAACAGAGCTGGGATTCAGACCTCGCTCACCTCCCCGCTGCACGATGTGGTAGAAACAGAATGTAAACACTGTTCTTTGCCCTCCCACAGAGGACATGTAATAGCTCTCAAGGCTGGGCTTCAGTTCGCCCACCACTGGGGTTAAGCATGGCCATCTTTTAATAGCACAGAGCCACACCAGGCAACAATTTAGGAGCGTGCTTGAGGAAGTGTATGCCTTCCAGTATGAAACGGCAGGGAAAGGTTTACGAAGGCAAATGGTAAATTGCTCCAACTGGAATTAAGCAGTGACCCCGAGACTTGCACTTTTTCTCTTACAGAAATAAGAACATCACCCACAGAAATCACTACCTGCAAAACATCAGCAAATCCTGAGCGAACAAAACAACTCTTCCCCAGCCCCAACTTTTCCTCCAGCTTAAATCTGAAGAATAATTTGCTCGGCAAGTCAGTTAGTAAGAAAAGGACTTCAAGCTCCCTATTGCCAGGATCATCTTTCTGATCTGTTTTGAGAGCACCTAACAGAGTGTTGTCCTGTCTTACAAACAACAATCCAATAAAGCTCCTTCATTTTACATGTAAAGACTTTAAGAAGTGTCATCTACACATATCATGGTATTTCCAAACACAAAGAAACATTCTACAGTTTAAAACCAATTTTTAAAAATTAAGGGACATAAAAATGCTGTTATTATGAGAGAGCACAATTAGAGTATACATTCATCATAATTTTTTTTTAATTACTGATGATCCTCTGTGCCCAAGGATGATTTAAAGGAGCCTGGCAAATGTTCCTGACCAAAAAAAAAAAAAAAAAAAGTTCCTTAGAAGTGGTCTTTATGTCCTGAATTGAAAAAGGAAAAGCAAACACAATATCCCAAAGTCATGAGTGACTCTGAGCCTTACAGTTCTCTTGAAGCTACTGAAGAGGGAATGCTTCACATAATAATCTTAATAATACCATTCTCAATCAAGTCACACCAACATATGCATAAAAACCCTGCTGAGGATGAGCATTCTTTCTGTCACATTTTAACTCTATTCTCTTTCTCCTTAGAGCAGTCTTCTGCCTATTCCTTAAAGCGAACCTTGGTTTGCTTCTGACAAGCTGTGCGTGCACGCGTGTGAAGTTCTCTCTGTCCTTTTACGCGAATGGTGGTTTTGGCACTCGCAATGCAATTGCTCTGGCTTGCTGTGCACAGCAGAGTGATTTAGGACTTGGGCACTGCAGCAGACACCTGAACTATGCACATCAGAACGGCTTGGAGCAGCAATCCTAAGTCAGAACACACGTGTAATGGGCTAGCTCTGCCTGTATCATTTTCCCTTTTATTTTAGTATCTGTTAAGAGCAATTTGAGACAGATTATGATGCAACCACAAGGCAATTTTTTCCCCCTAGCTGTCAAATTCAGAACATTAAGCTGGATACAGAGGGGAAGCCACAGACAGCTCTAACACTGGCTTTACCAAGCAAATATGTTGCTTTACTGAAAAGCTGTCACTGCGATAGCTCTGCAGTTAACTGCCAGAGAGGTGCCACCTGTAGCCTCCCACTGCTGCAGACCAGCATGATATCCGCAGGCTTATGTTGGTTTAAGAGATGAAAAAGACCAGAAAAAAACCATGTGATTAAAATCTCATTGTGTATGTTTCACTTGTGAGTGGGCAAAATACTGCAAATTAAATCGTACCTTTGTTTGCACCAGAGACAAATAACACCACTCTTCCAGGAGAGTCTAATGAATATTTTAAATTCTTGGGACAAGCCCAGTTATTCAGAACTCCTTATAATTCAAAGGAAAGCTATCTTTCCAAAAAGCTTAATTACAAAGTAAGTGTTCTCGATTACCCCAAGCCTATATTCATAAACATATTCACTGTTATCTGGAGATAGTGGGTAACCAAGCGTAGCACATAAACACCTCGACGCAGCTGACAAAATTTAGCTTTTATCTGTGAGACTGCATTTCAGGTAAATGCTGCAAGATTCTCTTTGGACCGCCGAGAACATATGCAGCAATTACTCACAGGCTTTTTGAAATCTCTTCATTTGCACAGCGTAGCTATTTCTACAGTAGGTAATGCTTTATATCCAATTTCAGATGCACATGCTAACAGGACAGGAGCAAAACCAGATTCCAGCCTCCTTGGAAATGCCAAAGTTAGAAACAGTCTCCATTAGCACACTGTTTTCCCATAATATGTAACATTTGGATTTTTCAGTTTTCACAACAGTCTGAGTTGGTAGTACCATGGGACAATTTATGAAGGCTTTCTCAGTCCTATGGATAAATGAATTGCCACCAGCTTGTGTGATTTCTCCTCCATTCAGGGAAGCAGGGCAACTATCACATTGTTAACAAATAACGGAAGATATTTGAGCCCTGTTACCAACTTTTTACCTTAAACTGCAATAAAATAGCAAAACCTTAAGTATTCAGCTTCCCAGGTGGGTGAAAACGGGGATAACCTCCTGTTTAGAACAGTAATTCAGATACGCTTTTTACATTGTACTGGATACAACTCCACACAACCCCCTCCTGCCGTCACGGCTGCATGCAGCTCTTTCTCAAGGGATGCTTTGAAAGGACAGAGGTCTTAAACTCCATCTACACTTTCAAGGCACAAAAAATAGTTTTATGATTTTTCAGTTCCCTTTAGCCACACGTATCTGTGAGGAAGTGAAAGAGAAGGAAACAGAACACTCTTTGTAATTGTATACAAGCACTGGACAATTCTCCCACTATAGTATGGAAACCTGCAGTGTTATGCTGTATTTTTTTTTTTAAATACAAATGTTGCTAATGTATATATAACATTTGTATACAGATCACTGTATCAGTTTTACCAAAAAAAATACAAAGAATTAAAACTCAGTTTCTGCTAAGTTTCTCACCTGCTCCCACCAACTGGAGGGAAAACTAAACTGTATTTAGAGATCAAATGAGGTCTGATACCATGAGGGGCTGCAGGGGCAAGGAGGGAAATCAGGAAAGGGCAGGATTCAGTGAGATCATGTGGCACCAGTAGATGGGAGCCTTGAATCACCAGACCCATGTTTTAGTTAGCTGCATTTCATGTGAGCTTATGTGGCTGGTGAGAACCAAATGGGAGAGGACAACAGCAGATCACCCCAAGAGCATGAAACAGGGCATCTTAGAGGAGTGGAATAAGTTATCTGTGAACAAAAGGACAGTAAGGCATAGACAACTGATGAAACACACTCATACAGAAAGGGCTGGGCTCTTTGACTTCAGCGGCTCTTGTTGGACAGCCTACAAACTCAGTGGGTCTCAAGGAAAACCAATGAGAAACACCATGAAGTGCAGACATTTCACATCTGCCCTCTATCACCAAAAAAAAGACTCAGATTGGTGTAAAGGCTACACTTCTCTGCACTTGCCTATTCAGTCTAATTTCATCATTCAAGACAGGAGAAATGCAAAGGGAACAAACAGCCCATCTTCCACTACTGCTTCTAGGAAGTTTTGCTTCCAGATGCTCAGGAACCAACAGTAGCTCCTGCGCTCGCAAGGGACGTGTCAGTTGATAGCAAGGAATGGCAAGAAGAATTCAGAGGAAAAGCCATTTTAAAAGATTATACACTGCATAGATTTGGAAGCAATTTTGATTACAACAAGTACCTCATTGAGAGATACTCTGTCATTGTGAAAAAAAAGCTTTGGGTCAGAGGTAATCTGATCACAGTATTTTAAGAAACATGAAGCAGTTTAGCCTTGCTAAAAACAATGGCAAACCTCTTCCCTGCAGGGCTTCTGCGTACCTTACAGACGGCAAAAAAATTTGACACATTCCTTACATCCACAGCTACAATTCACCTTGGGGGAACAGTTGTACAAGTACCTTTTTCTCGTATACATCTTGCCAAACAATGCCAGCAAAGAATTTGTGCTGCATAATCTCCTTGGCATCATCAGGACCACCACCTAACCTGTTTGGGACAAAATAAGTAATTAAAAGTTTGAGTACAGTTATTTTTCTCATACAATTTTTATTAAACAGTAGTTAAGACATTCTCAGTGTATACAATACATTTAGGAACAGTTCTAGCATTTGCTTTACATTTGTTTTTTGTGGAAGGGATGCAGGATAGTCTATTTTAGGCTTTAACACAGTTCCACTAAAAGATCTGAAAACATGCTAACAAATAAATTTAGAATAAAGGTCTCTCTTAAACAAACAAACAAACAAAATAAAAAAAAAATAATCACAATTCAAAAGACCTGCCCTTCAGGAAAGATGCTGTCCTAAGGACCACAGCAGATCCTGCAAGTAAAAGGTCTGAGCCACACACCCGTCTCTCTTTCTAAATTAATGAGTGACCACCCCTCACAATTTTCTAGAGCAGAGTGATGCCAGCAGTAAAACTGAATTTAATTTCAAAGCACAACAGAGGCAAGGATCTTTAAGACAAACTGATTTATGCAACCTGATTTAAATTTCCATTAAAGAAAACAGTTGACAGCTGCAGTGATGGTATCATGTTGTATGCAAATCTTTCCTCTTCCTTGGCTTCACGAAGGCACAAAGGGTGTTTTATTGACTTAAGGTATATCAAGATAAAGCACTTCTATTCCAAAATAAAACTGTCCACACAGCTTATAGATGCAATCAGTTTAGCTACAGTCTTGAGCTAACAGTTGCTTAAATTCTGCTGTGGATGTTAAAATGTTCTCTAAAAGATTGAACCACATCTGCAAGCAAAGGCATGCACTGAGAAAACAAAACACACACTGAAGTAATCAGCAGGAGACCTACTTTCAGGTACCAAGGTTAAGACGACGCTCAGGATTTTAAGTACAAGACATTTCTCCATGTCCATCCAGGCCAACCTCTACTATCTGCCTCTTCTCTGATTCTTGGTGCCACTGGCAAACTGAGAGATTATCCCTATTTTAAGAGCTTGGAACAATGGCTCTATGTGACCAAGGCTAGAGCTATACCGCTACAGAATAAAGGGCCAAGGACTGTTTTAAGAACCCGAAGCCAAGCTGCCCGGCCAGGCCCCATCCATGCTGCACAGCAGCTGGCCCTGAATCTCCTTCGGGCCACATGCAGTAACCCTGCGGCCTTAATACATGATTATTTGGGGACAGAAGAGAGGGGTTTGGTTCAAAATATCAGTGATAATGTGAAGGCTGTTCTACAGCCCATTGAAGTGGTATTTTTACAGCTTGAGACTGCACTGCATGCTCTGGGATGTAGCTCTAAGGCTTGGGACACTGTTGGACAATTGTTTACTGTAGTAGTCAAATACGGTGACACTTTGTCCACACTGCTGACTGGGAATGGATCCTGGCATGTGCAACCTTCTCAGCCATGCCCAAGCACTGCCTTCAGGGAGCACAGGCTGGCAGGGGCCACAGCTGTACCACAGAGACCAAGTGACAAAGGTGACTGGGAGTTCAGAGTCCATGCTCGCTTCCTGGTGCTCTTCCATTTAGTGGCACAGCAACCTAAGGGCTTTACTCCTTCACGTTCCTTCAGGAAATGTGCAGTGGAACAAGGAACGGGCCCCCAGGCTTTGATCCACAAAGTGCTGGGTGATGCCCTCCTTCCCCAGGTAAGCTCTAAGACCAAGCGTAAAGTTCACCCTAGAGCCCCACAGGCCAAAACAAGACGGACGATGGCTCTCCCATCTGCCTGGCAGCACATTAGACAGCTGCAGAGGAGCCTGGAACAGAGACAAACTCCAGGGCAGGCTGGGAACAGAGACAAACTCTGTGAGTAATCATCTCTCGGCGGGTTCCCCACAGGTCTAGAGGCTTTGCCAAGTCTGAACCAGGCTCCGCATTGCTTCCCCAGTGCAGATGATGATGACCGGTGAAGAAGAGGGTGGAGTCGATCCTCTTTATCCACAAATGTCAGCAGACTGCACTTCTGCACAAAAGTTCAGGTGTGACTATGAGCTAACAAGAACCTGAATCATGTTTTGCAGAAGCATGCAGGAAGGCTGGCTGGCTGCAGCCATGTACGAGTGCTTTGGAGAATACGTTATCTAATATAAGCCTTTGTTCCACGAAGGACAAATATATACTCAGTGTAATGCCAAGAAAAACTCCAGATGTTTTACTTACCTTTAAAAAATCTGTACTATTAAACAAATCCATTCAAAGCGAATGGGGAAACAACAGAAATCTCATATTTTGGATACGTACTTATTCCAAAACACACTCTTGTTTTTCGTTATTGTTATGAAAGGACCCTCTCAAGGAGAACAAAATTAAATCAGCACCTAACACAAACATCATGGTTAAGCCCCAGTGAGACCTGAAAAAGGAGCAGGTTTGTCTTTTATAAGGACATGCATCAACTGAAGAAAAATATAGGAGGAATAAAAGTCTTGAAAAGATCCTTGTACAATAAAGTTAAATTAGGTGCATTTAAGTCTTCAGACAGAATCAAAAATTGTATAAATAGGACTTGAAAAGAAAAAGCTACTGAGATTTATAGTGTACAAGGAAACATAACAGAAAGTGTATAGGCCAAAAAAGCAACCAAAACCAAACCCCACCCACCTCCAACTTCTGAGTAAACTGGCTTCCTTAAAAAAAACCTGCCAAACAATTCTGGTCATTCATTTTAACTTCCACCTATGTCTGAGAGGCTTTGTTTCAATGTTTCAGCTAAATCCCAAAGAGAAAATTATTAATAAAGTTAATAATATTAAACTATTTCCACATTTTTAATTTTTATGAAACTGTGTATTGCTTGCAAGTTCCTTTAATCATTTAATGACAAATGTCTGTGCTCCATGAGTCAAGGGCAAACAGCTATCATTCCACTGTAATTTTTAATAATATATATATTAAAAAATACAGTGCATAAACACATAGTCAACAATGAAAGTATTATTATCATGGGCCAGAAGATCGCAATTAGTGGATCACAGGAAAAATACTGTTTCTCTACTTGTCCATGTAAAAGTAAACAGTGCCCAGCACCCAGGACCATTCCAGCTCTTTAAGAAGAAACCCACAAACTTCTAGATTTATAATTAAAAAGTTTCTACAGTAATGACAGCCAGGCTCCAATGCAGGAAAGTGGGCAGCAACCACCTTCACTCTGCCCTGCCAAATAATCCCATTCACAAACTCGTGCTTCACCGTATTAGGAGCCACAATACAGGTTCTCTCTGTGGGCGGATTGTCATCTAAAGAGACTGTCATACTTTCAGGTGACAGATTTCTGTTGTTTACAGATTTGCAGATGCATCATCCTCATCTGAGAGCATGGCCACAGCTTTAGGCACAATTTCTGCTGCTATTCTATCTTCACATGATTTCTCTGACTCCCCAGTGCCCCCAAATCTGGTTCTACAGCACTACAAATATACCCACCAGGCTCAAGAAAATCAGCTCAGCAAAAGCTACCGGTGTTCACTAGCTCAGAGCACACAGATGTGTATTTCTCCTTCTCTGATACAGTCAGGATGGAGACTAGTAATAGATTGTACAATGGCCCTTACCTTCAGAGGTCTCTAATAGCTGCAGGGAAGGATTTAGGAACTGCACCTACAGTGCTTTTCTCTGGCACTAGCAGCACAGGGAAGCTCTGGCTGGCTTCAGGAACAGCACAATTTGTTAACTCCGGATTTGGAAGGAAAAGGCCACATTCTTCCCCAAGCCCTGTACATACAGTCTTTGCAGGCTTACCTCCTCAGAGATTAAGACCTTTGTAAAGCCTAATGCAACTCCCAGCTCCATGCTGAGCTTTACTTCCCACTTCTTCATTAACCACACATGTGCAACACAAATGTAGTGGATCCAGTAACACTGGAAAAGCTCCCATCCCCACATTAAGTAACCACAAAGGAGTCATGTTTGAGGATGCTGAGGCTTGGGAAGTCTCTAAACTACCCATTTCTAGAAAGCTGGGAAAAAAATCTCTTTAAATTTGCCTTTTTTGTTTTCCTCAGCTACAATTTAGATCTCTTACAGATGAACTGTTTTGAGTTTGTCCAAGCTTGTTCTGAATAGCTCTGGACTGAACTCATTGAGACTAAAATTATCATACACAACAGCTAAATCTCAGTGTACTTCAAAGCACCTGGTGAAACATATATGAAGACTTGATGAGCACTCTGCAGTTCAAGTGATACCTAAGACACTGGAGTTGTCTGGAGACAGAAACACTTCTGTGCTCAACACACACACATTTCAGAGCACACGTAAGACACTTGTCATGCATGGTTTCAAAACTCTGGATGCCCACAAGGCATGAAGTCTGCTGCCCCAGAGGACCAGCTATTCAAGGTTACCTCCTGCCTGCCACCAGCTAGCTGGGACCACCTCCAAGCCCCTGAAGTCACTGCTGCCCCTTCCAACTCCAGCAGCAGTTGCGCGGGCTGCAGACCTAGCTGTGTATGACAGCAAATTTGCTCAAGCTATCTACCCTTCCCATAGCAGAGCACCACAAACAGACAGACATACACCTTAACTACAAATCGCCTCCTTTCAAAAGGAAAAAAAACCAAGGAGCTTGGTTCTCATGCAGGCAAAAGCTCAATTGACCCTGATCTTCCAGAACACCTGCAGCCAAAGTTGCACTCTGGATGTGGAAAGAGCGACCAACACTAGAAGGAACAAAGTGCAAGATCTTTGTGTGGCTGATCACCAGTTCCCAACGACCAGCTTCAGCGTTCTAAAGCCCCAACTACAACTCTGTGAAGCCATTAAATCTTTTAACAGGTGTTTGTGAAATACTGCATCTTCTTCCTCTCATTCTTCCCGAATGGCAAGGTCCAACAGTATCATGGAAGTCAGCAGATGAAGCAGCTTGTGACAAACCCGATCCAAAAGAAGCTGAACAACCCTGACCTGTGACATAGAGAACTAAGGCATGTAGTGAAAACACATAATCCAAATTCAGAGGAACCCATCCTGAAGTTCTCTCAAGTTTAAAACCTGCCAAGATTCAGAGCTTGTGAGACACTCTGCTGATTACAAACCCACCCATCCGTCTAAACTCAGCCTGTTTACGTGGACCCTCTGATGACCCTCTGATCCATGCCTACTTTCACAGGTGCAGCCTCCACAGCCAGAGAAAGAATAATAGAAGTTAAAAATTTCGCAGTTTTACGTGTGAAAAAAATACTGTGATTACCTCCTTCCAGTTGAAACATGTCACAAAGCAGCGAAGGAGAATTTCAGGTCATAATAAAAGGAAATATTTACAGAATAGGTTTTTTCCTCCTTAGGAAAATCAGGGCTCACATTACAAGATTAATAAACTTATATCAATCCCAAAAGAAACTTCAAAATTCCTTTTCTCTTACAAAATGGATTTCATATGACCAAATTTAGAAAACAGCCATGATTAAAAGCAGAATGCAATTTATTGTTCTTCACATTTTTCCCATATGCCAGTGAGTTTGAGACTGAACTGGTATTACTGAATGCAGAATGCTAAGACTGCTTCTGTATTTCCAGCTCAGGTACAACAGGTAACTTTTAAGATTTAATTCACTGACCCAGGTCACAATTCACTCACTAGCTCCTTGATATTTAACTTAAAATATCCTCATCACTGAGCTTCATTGTATCAACCTTTATTGTTCTTGGGGTTTGTTTTTTTGGTTTGGGTTGGGTTTTTTTTGAGGATTTTCACAGAATCATAGAACCATCGAATGGTTTGGGTTGGAAAGGACCTTTAAAGATCATCGAGTTCCAACACCCCTGCCATGGGCAGGGACACCTCCCACTAGCCCAGGTTGCTCGAAGCCTCATCCAGCCTGGCCTTTTACGGGGAGTATGTCCCAGTTTCATTTTCCCCATGGCTTTGTCTGTCTCCTCTATCCCACTCTGAAGCTCACCAGCAGTTACTAAACACTGCCAATTCTGATGTTTTCTGCTACACAACATTACGATGACACCAACTTCTGTCCACCACTGGGCTTGTGTCAGAGGGGATTTCTGTTGAATTACACATCCCCAAAGCATCATTAACGAGCTAATGTCAACCAGACTGTCACACATTATTTAACTTTTCACTGAATGTATTTTTGTAGCTATCTGGCTGTTCTTCTTTGATATGAACTCACTATGAGTCAACTACTAAGTATCCCAGGCACCTACTCCAGCACACATACCACACAGTAAAGAGAACTTGGAACTGCAAAGCCAGGACTCAGAACTTCTACCCCTAGTGCTTCCAGCTCAGTTCTCAATACTGCCCAAAATGCCATGAAGCGCAGTGGATTTGCAGAATCACAGCTTCAGTTAAAAAAGCTGGGTGAACAGTGACTGGTGAAAAAACAGTATTTAAGAATGGTCCATGATCCAAAAAGCTGGGGAAGCACCAGTGTAATTAGCAAGCTGTGGACATGTGTGCAGGCTTGTCTAGTCTATAGTTATTTCTATCAGCAGCATGAAAAATCATCTGTCCAACAGATCAGAGCATCACTGGTTCCAAGCCTGCAGAAGATACATGTGAAGAAGTGGCTATTTGTATAAAATTAGCATATTGTGGAGTAATTATTGGCATTGGGAAAACCTTGCAATTAGAAACAAGTGGGCGCTCTTTGTTTGTAAACAAATTGCATTTTGGTTCATCAGAGATGCCCCTTTAAGAACAAATTACAGCAGATGCCGCTTCCCTTTCCAGTGACTGAAAAGCCTCACCTGAATAAGCTACAAAAGGGTCATAACTGTATTTAACCCAGCACTTTCCTGGACAGGAATCCTGTTGGCAGGGGCTGCAATCATGCTCACAGAGCACAGTGCCTTAGGGGGCTGCTAATCAATTACGCAAGCTTCTGGAGGTCCCCTTGCAGCTCCTCCCAGGTTCAGGAGAGGTGGGCAGCTGTTGTCCCCTAGTACAAGGCTGGCCATGATCCTGACTACAACTGTTCCTGGTTCCCCATGTCACCGCTAAGTTGAATCCTGCAGTAGTACAAACTATGGATTTGCACTACAAGACCCCTCAACAGGATCTTCCATCAAAAAAAGTGATAGAATTAGCCTACAGTGATGACAAAAATCCTTGCTACAAGTATCCACGCACTGGCAAAACCCATTTTTCCTGCTATGTGCATGCACACACGCAGACTAAACAAACATCAGAAAGCAAACCAGAATACTCTGTTTGCACCTCACATGAAAGATTTCCTATTTGAGGCCCATTTACAGTGGAAGGTTCAGGACAGGAGCTCAGGGCAGAGTCACAATATTATTTGTTTTAAAAATGTCTGGGTTGACAAGATGGCAGGTTTTTAAACTGATGTTTATCTTTGTGCGAAGGACAACATCCTTTTTGGATCTTGTTTTATTTTTTGTTTGCTAGCCATTAAGGCCTTGGGGTTTTTTTGTTTTGTTTTGCTTTTTCTGTTTTTAAATCAAGGGTTACTTCTTAAATAATACAGCATAGCAAAAAACCCAAAACAAAACAAAGCAAAAAACACAAAAGGAGAAAATAGGAAAAGTAGATTAAGCATGGTATAATCTCCACTGCAAACAGGGTACAAACACCACCACCTGCTGTTCAAAGCAGGATGCTAAATCACCAGCACAGATTTAACCGAAAATTCAGAAAATGGACAGCAGCCCGAACTGGGACAGAAGGTGAAAGCATTCAGTGTAGAGCAGCTTATAACCCACAGCAGCCATTGCATTAGTTATGACTGAAGACAGGGTTAACTTGCTTTGTCCCAGGCTATAGTTTTGTGTTATGGCAGCCATCGTATTCAGAAGTCCAGCCTTCTGATCACCAAAGCTGCTTCATGTCACTATTTGCAGTGTCAGCTCATGTCAAAAGTTAAAACAAAAAAGCAATATAGTCTTACCTTTGCTTAGGATCTTTCTTCAGCAGACCTGACAAGAGGGATTTTGCTTCAGGTGACAAAGTGCGTGGAAATCTAATCTCCTCCATTAGGATGAGTTCAAAGAGCTTTTCATGGTCCTGATTGTAGAAAGGGAGCCGGCCACACATCATTTCGTACATCACAACTCCTAAACCCCACCAGTCCACTGCACGACCATAGTCGTTATCTTCCAGCACCTGCAGAAATGTAAGGAAAAGGCTTTAGAAAACATTCCCAAAACAGGCATGAACACAGAACTCAAGGCAAAATTTACCCCAGCAAGTTCATCTTTTCACACATCACAGCTGAATCTACCAGTGGAGAATTTGCAGAAGATCCATTTGAAAAGAACTGGCATCCACATTCACTGCGCTAGGTGAGCAGGAGGAGGAAAAGGAGGCAGCAGGTATGCTACAGCAGCTTCCTTCTCTTCTTCCTCCCACCCTCCCTCATGTTATGGTCATGATAAGCACAACCTTTGAAAGGCCAAAGGCTGAGGACTGTTCTCACATTACAGAGCCAGCTGTTAAATTCTCACTTCTTCATCACAAACTGTTCCAAATGTGATCCAATTTTTCAGAAAACCCCAAACCACCAAGGACCAAGTACAGGGAGAAGAGAGAAGACCGTCACGCTGCTACTTCACAAGCAACAAGCCAAACATCCCCATCATCTTCACATCAACCTGCACCCCCCAAAGAGTGGCTCTGCACATCCTGAGAGACCACCCACAAATACTAAATGACTCACCTACATCAAACACTAAGAGACAGAACACCACTCCTAACATTTGACCTGCTGTAAGACCCTAAAACGGCAGCCAAATTGTCTGGAAATGTTTTCCCTCCTAGCCTCTGAAGGCACTTGCTCACTAGCTCTAACACTCCTGCCTCTGCTTAGAGGGCTGAAAACCCAGGAATTGTCAGTGGGGTGAAATTCTGCCAGGGCTCACTGCAGAAGGAATCCAACAGGGCTCATTTTTCCTCTCCCCTGGGCACTTCTACCCAACAAAGCTCCAGCAGGGTGTTGGGACCCCAGCAGTGCCCTTCATCTCTCCTGCCTGCTCCAGTGAAGCCCTGTCATAGTGCATTTCTGATCTTCTGCACTGAAGGCTGTTGAAGGGAGTTGGGAGTGTTTTGTGGCTTGTGGAGTGGATGTTACGAGGACTTCTCTAGACTTTGTGTCTCCTACGCAGTTGTCTGTAGCTGACACCAACAGTCTCATGTTCCAGACCCTGTCCTCAGGTTTTAGTTGTCATCTTTACTCTTTTCGTGGGTTGGCACTGAACTGCTTACTCTTGCTAAGAGCACAAACCACGACTGCACCACCAGCGTGTTTTCTTGTTGCACCATGTCTGTATGAGCTGTACACATTGCTACAATTCAGAATACTTTACACTCAAAATTTAAAAGCTGAAAAAGCCAAATGAACTTAATGGAAGTTTAACAAAAGCAGGATCTGAACCTCTTACAAACCTTGAGAAAGGTTTTGCATACAAAAAAGAAGCATCAAGACACTCCATGTAACAACTGCTTGCACTCTGCCTCTCTTTATTCACTGATTATTCCCTTAATTATCTAAAAAAACCTGCAGTAAAAATCAAAAGGTTGCCAGGTATTAGATTACCCCATGTTGGTCTATTTACAGCATCCCCTGCCATATGATTCACACCAAACGACAGCTGGCTCTGCAGCTGCCCTGTATATGTATACGGCCGACACAGCTGCTGGCCGGACAGGATTCCAGGAGCCATCCCCGTCCTTCCCGAGGCATCGCAGCCCTTCAGCTCACAGGAGATATTGTGTGACAATGCAGTTACTGCTCTCTGAGTCACCCTGTTCACTAAGTGCTTCCTGTTCACACTCCCCTACGCTTGGGTTACCTAAAATAAAATAGTCACGGGGCTTGCAATTTTTATTTGTATTTTTTAAACTGCTGCAAGAGATGCAATAGAAGAGGACTGAAACAAAAGCAAAACCACAGAGGACTTTGTTGTGTATGTAATAAATGCTACAGGTGCTTTCGAAATGCAGCAAACACTTCAAATGTTATTTTAGGAAGCATACTGATACTATGTATTATAATCTAGATTACTAACTACGGCTCTTTCCTTCAACTCCATTAATTCTGAACAGAATATAAAAAACTTATTTCTTCAAAGGTCTTTATCACAATGAGCATACACTCATATCAGTGATTGCACAAAACAGAGCAATGGTCTTAGTATCAAAAATATATTATAACAAAAAAGGTACTGCACTCATCCATGATTTATTGCAACAGGCAGGATAGCTGGGGAGCAGTAAAGTAACAAGGTCATTTTGCTTAAACTAAAGGATCATAATTTCCTAATGAGCAGCTCTAGACTGCTGTGATATGGAATCTGAAAGAGAAGACACAACAGCTGTAAACATCACAGCCATCGATGCATCTGACACATCAAAGTTGACATGGTTCAGTCACTGTCATCCATGCACGAGATTCCAGCATGAACCTAAAAACAACGATGCAACAACTGTACAAACACGCCGCTACGCCGGATTCAAGTTACAAACGCAGACAAGAAGATTGAGACCCTTGCTTTTAAGGATGTATGACCTTAAACGCATGGAATAACACTCGCGCATAATTTCCAGATTTTTTGCATGCTATCGACCAGATGACAAAAGCCTCCAGAATTTAACACTCCAACTCACAGATGGGATTTGCAAGTAAGGGAGAGAGCTGGGTTAATCAAAAGGATTTGTCCTTCAGGGTTTTGGATGAGCCAACTCATCATAAGTATTAAAAAGAAAAATAATAGCAAATAATAAAACAGAAAGAACAACTTAATGTCTGCATGGGGAATCCCCACATTCCAGGTTAGGAAAAAACAAAACCAGAACAATAAATATTTTTAGTCTCCTTATAAAATCCTAGATGAGAAACTGAAGTTCAGCAACTGATTTTAAGAGGGAAGCTAAAATAAAAGCCAGGTTTATGAATAATGAACACTCTTGTCACGCTGCTAATTACTCCCTGCATCACTAAATCTCAAATTGTGGTGCATGGACCCCAATTTAGATTCACTGAAGACTTCTGGTGATCCATGGAGAGCTAGCAGCTATCATGAGACTGGCTCCACCTCCTTGCTGCAAGCTACTATGACAGGTGCCCATGTTCTTCATTATTACGAAGAGACTTGAGGCCCTTGAAAGCAGACAGGAGTTAAAATAAAAAACCAAACAAAAAACAAAACAAGAGCATGCTGCTGCTGCTATGCAAGGGGAGCATGCAGAAGTGTTGATCAGAAAAGACATCAGCTCTCAGTAGAAATATTCCTCCTCCACTTTGGTTTTCCATACTTTGTACTTCTGCATACTGCAGCTCAAGAAAGGTCCGCAATGCCCAAGTCTCCCAACTCAGAGAAAGGCTACATCCTGGCTGTGCCAACAATACATAATCTGCTGGCAGCCCAAGACCTGCTTCTGCCTGTGCTCCAAGCTGGATGGAAGTCTTAACGCCACGGGTAGCAAAGCACCCACTGCAAGACAACAAGCCCTTCTGTGAGGCACACTGCGTGTAGCTCAGGCTTCGTGCCCTACTAATACAGCGGAGTCTGCTTCCAGCCAGCTCTGAGCGTGGGCAGAGAAAACTAGTGTCTGCCTGCGAAATACCATGTGTACATATATTCTGTATCACACAATTTCACTTTTGATCTGTCCGTAACTAACTCATAGCTATAACACCACGAGTGTTGCACAACTCTCAGGAGTATTTCCAGGATGAAAGCCGCAAGTACACATTTGTGTTTCACACTTAAAAAAAAAAAATAGTAAAAAAAAATCCCCCAAACATACAGTTTGGGGACTGAGATCCCCTGTTTGAATTTATTTCCTCTGAAACTGAAAGTTCAAATTAATATTGAGAAACATCTCATGCTCTTACAGTCACAAATTAATGCATACCATGCTATACACTGCAGAAAAAGCTGGGTCTGTCCTGTTTCTGAAAACATGTCACCTTATACTGTCTTCAAACAGTAAGAGAATTGGACAATACTTTTACTTCTTAACCCAAGTCCTGCTGATATCTTTCAAATGGGTCAACACGCAGCAAACAAATTGCAAAACAGTCACCAATTCATCAAGTAGTATTTTATGTAATTTAATTTTATTTTTTTTAGATTTCTGACAGAAGAAGTAAACACTGTTCCAGCAAAATGTAAATATTCCCTAAAGTGAAAGGAAGATACTACCCTGCCCAAAAATTATCACACATCATTATGCTATGTCCCAAAACATGATGAATAATGTGTGTGGGTTATTATATAACAGTAGCTATTGTATGAACACATTAGGGAACTGGAATTGTTCTGTAGCCCTATTGCTATCACAGACGGCATTTAAGAATATAATTTAGTAAATAGCCAACATAAACATACCTCTGGTGCAAGATACTCTGGAGTGCCACAGAAAGTCTTCATTGTTGCTCCATCCTTTATGCCTTCTTTACATAGTCCAAAGTCTGTTATTTTTATGTGTCCATCTTTATCCAGCATAAGATTTTCCAACTGAGAGGAAAATCCAAATGAAAGACATTATTACATACACCACTCCAGAGCAAGGCAGTGAAAGACATGAATTTCTGCAGATCAGTTTTCAGCCCTGTTCTTGCTGGGGTCGGAACCATAGTAGCTGGCAAAGCATGCATGATATAAATGTGCATTTATATCATTTTCCTAAGTTCTTCAGGGAACACTAGGTACCTAATTTGCAGTCTTTGGGTAACCAATCATATATACAGAGAGAATTCAGAATGTAGACACTGTATTTATGCTTCTACAATATTATCACCAAGAGAACACCAGTTCTTTTAAAAATATATTAAATATTCCCCCTCACACAACTTCATCCCTGCTTTTACTCTAAGTGATTTTATGAAATAGTCTGTATCAGTACAGGATAGCAAATGAAAAAAAAATCAAACACGAGGCTAAGGAAACACTTCCAAAGAGACTCTGTACATGCATTAACACTTTATACATTTACTCAGCAAATGGTATTCATCTTAGCCTGCGCAACTAATTTTTGAGAAAGCCATCCTGATTTCAGGACAGAGTTTCCACTGTGTATGAAATAAAACACACTTTCAAAGGAATTACGGTGATATGGGAGACAAAATCCGAGCAGGAATCCCAAAATTATTTTGACATAGCCTGGAAACATTACAGAGCATGCTTCATTTTAGATTGCTCCTAAACGAACTACCAGTACCCCCTCATCCTCTCCTCAAAACACTTCTCAGGGAAAAAACATTAAATGCTATTCTTGCATTATCCTCAAGAATTTCCCCAAGTTTGTTTGCCTGAGATTTCTTTTTGGTTGTTTTCTTTTTTTTTTTTTTCCCCTTCTGTGCTCACCAAACAAATAGGCAACTTGAAGCTTATCCAATATTCTAACTGCAAGCAGGTACTATGAAGATAGTGCTGTGCAGCACAGTGCAAGGAAGCGCAACATCTACACAGTATGAATTTGCATCTATCTGATGAGACCTGGGATGAAGAGCCCAGGACTATGTTCCACCACACAGAAGAGCCAGCAAGGTTTCTCTTAGAACACAAGCAGGCAAGTGAAAATGCAACCCAAGTAGCTCAGTACCCCTTAAAATTCTCTGAAACACTGCCAGAGTCCTGATAAATGCATTATGTTTTAGACTATAAAAGTGTTTAGACATCCTGTAAAGTCAAGCCCAACAGCTGCAATAACTGTTACGTTAGAGTTCAGTCAGGAAAGGCTTTCTTATTTCAGACTCATTTGCTTTTTGTGACTAGCAAAAAAAACCCAAACCCAAAAAGCCTATGAAATTATTTTTCTACGTACCTTCAAATCTCTATAAACCACATTCTTCTCTGAATGCAGGTAATCCAGTGCTGAAACAATCTCAGCTCCATAAAACCGAGCCCGGTCTTCAGAGAAGACACGCTCTCTTGACAGATGGAAAAACAACTACAAGAGCAATAGTTTGTTACCTTTCAATTGAACATGTTTCTGAGTTTGTCTCACATTTCGCAGGCCATCCTGCTTGGAATGTGATATTACATAAGAGGAAAGCCCTTCCCATCCTCAGCCAGCTGTGTTCCCAAATGTGTTAAAAAGCATCATAAATTAAATGACTAGACAATTATATCTCGTATTCACAGATGCACACTGATAACCAGTTTGTGCTGCACATTCTTGTACGTACAGAAAATTATAAAAGCTCATTTTGATTGAACTACAATTACATATTAAAACTACAGCTTAATGCACAATTTAGAGATGTTAATATTCCAACTTTTCCTTCTTGACTAACAGTAGTTTGCCATTTCTAATTCTCCCATTAAAGTAACGCGTGCTCATGATATTCATTAAAAAGTGTTAAAAGTTGTCTGATGAGCAACTAGAAAGCAACCTTGCCTTCTGAATTACTAAATGTCAGATTGCAATATGTTGCTATCATGTAAAATATTAACCTATACCCAAAACCTCTGTTCTCTGAAAACAGAGTTAAGAAAATTATGAGTCTTAATATTAGTAAACCTGCAAACAGCTCTGTTCAACTGGGACAACTTGGATTAATTAGAACTGCAAAGATGGGCCTTAGCTACATAATATCAAGCAGAATTAGTAGTAGTGCAGAAAAATCCCAACGTACTAAACATTATTATATTTCTCTTACCTCTCCTCCATTAGCATACTCCATAACAAAACACAAGCGATCATGTGTCTGGAAGGAATACTTTAAAGCCTGAAAGAGATTTAAAACAAAACTTAGAAGACAGATCACATTGACAGTTACAAAAGTATTTTAATATATTTTCAGAAACATAAGACAGACATGAAAATCCTATTTTAGTGGACTTTTTCTCCTTAGATCTTACATAATATACTTTCCTGTTGCAGCTGATCCACCACCGACTTATTTCTTTAAATAAATTAAATGAAACATTAAAACAATCCCTTGCAGAAGCTATCAGGAACACCTATAATGCTGTGAAACAAACTCCTGGCCCATTAAAAGTACAAAACGTACTAATCGTGGCTCTGAAGTTTCCTCCCCAGGCCAGAAGCTCCGACAATTTCACCTCACAGACAAGAGGCCACAACCAAACCCCAGAACACAAGGTTTTACCACACTGGCTACAAGGCCTCTGATATGAAACACATATACATTTACAAAAAACAGCCCCCTGGTCTCTGCCCTGCGGCCTGCAACTGCTTCCCGTTGACAGCCTGCCAGAGGATTGAGCAATGCTGTCAATACCAATTTGTGAGCAATTCACAAAACCAGACCGGATGGAGGGTGTGATGGAGCATCAAAAGGTGCCTTTATACAGTCCTGTCACGTGGATTCCTGTGTCAAGAGTAGCACCAACTTGTTTGCCACAGTCTTAAGTTTTTTGGTCACAACCCAGTCTCGTAGCTGACTTCCTTCCCAAGACAGCCCTTGTTTTGGATATTTGGGTTTATGAAATCATTAAAAAGAAAATACTGCATATGATATCACCGTCTTCATCACTAAGGGTGGGATTTTTAAACAAGTCATATTTTTGCAGAGAAAGGGCGGATTGGATTTTAGACATGTCAACAAACATTTAGTGATTATACCCACTACAGTCAATATTTACTTCCAGAGGCCATGCTTAAAAGGTCTAAATTCCAGCTAAGCCCTTGTGTACCTGGACAAAGGAAGTAACCAGGATCCCAGGTCTCTTACAGGGCTTAAGCAGTTTGAAACAATTCAGAGCCAACTTGTAATAAATAGTAGAAACAAAATCTTGAGGTGGAATTGGAGACTGCTGGTGCTGGAGGTCTACACTGAGAGTATGATTTGATTTCACAGATAAACCAATCCAAATGGAAAGTAGTGGATAAAGCATGGTCCTGCTCTTCCCTGCCCCATCCCACATCCTCCCACCACTATCCTTCAGCTGGCATTACCAGTGCTCTGATTCCATACTGAGCTGTTTCTGGGAGCGTAAAAAAACAACAAAGAAAGGCAAAATTAAAGGGTTTTCCCCCCACCATTATCTTCCTGAACTTGTTTGTCACAAGATCAGGGTCACCCTGATCTCTGCTACAAAGAGGAGACCAAGCATTTGGAGGACAAGGAAAGCAGATACTTCTCTCAGAGATAGCAAGCCATTAAATGGGTGAGCCATAAAGTCAAACCACACCCTGAAACACCGTCTTCAAGAGGTACTGAGGACCTGCTCTGCAAGAATCAAAAGACTTAAAAAAGCATTTTAATTTGTGCTTCCCAAAAATGGAAGGGTACAAAAATACACAGCCACTTGGAAAGCACAGATCTCACATGTATTATATAAATAACAAAAAATAAGGAAAGTCTGGGTTGTCATGATGTCAAGTTACACCCAGCAGAGGGAGAAATGCTTACTGTTAAGAATGGATGCCGCGAGTTCTGTAAAACACGGTTTTCTGTCAGCGTATGTGCTACTTCATCCTGAAACACAAGTAGAAGGAAATCAGCAAAGTTATTCCCCAGATCAGGGGCCCATTTCAAACACCAATGGAGCAATTATTTACAAGTTACTCAGAGGATCCTTCGCATGACTTCCCTAAAGGCTGTATCAAGGGTGAACCACATTCCCAAGTTTCCCATTTACTCACCTTTGCTACAATAACTTCCTTCTTCAGAATTTTCATAGCATAATACCGTCCAGTTGCTTTTTCTTTAACTAAAATGACCTTTCCAAAAGTGCCTTTTCCCAGTAGTTTAAGGTATTCAAACTCATTCATGGTCTGTTAATGACACAGACAAACAAAAACTGAATTACATGAACTAACAAGTATATCATTCTCAGACTAGAATTTCTCATTCACATGACAATGCACTGCGTATGTTGCATATGTGGGTTTTTTTAATACTTTTGCTTAGTAGAAATTATTCTTCCATAAAAATAAATACCAGTGCACTCCCAAAGATAATCAATCAAACTATTTAGAGAAAACTGTAAGCTTTCAATTAACAGAACACTCTTCCACATGACTCAACACTCAACTGTGCAAATACCACACAGCATATTATTATTAATCCATACGCATTTTAACCACTTTGTCAGTGCAGACATTCACTAAAAGGCACGTTTCTCTAATTCCAGGGTTTAAACCCAGACCTTTTTTCCAGTGTTCCCCAGCTCTCTAGGGGTTCAGCTTTCCTGTGCTTCACGGAACAGCACCAAAATGCACAGACAAAATGACTGCCTCATAGATTAGCCATTTGTTCTTATTTATTTTGCCATTAGGAAAAATGTTGGGGAAAAACCAGAATCTGTTGCAGGCTGAGAATAGTCTCCGTACTGTCATATCAAAGACCATTGCCAACACGGCAATAGTAACACTTATTCAGCCAAAGACTACTGCAGCCTTGATTGGTGGAAAATTTTAAGAGGCTCACAAGAGCAGATTTTCTCAAAATTCTTCCCTAGAGCTGTCTGAGGAGACTTTCTGCTAATTGTTCAATGCAGTTGATGCCAGAACCCCAATAATAATTTTGGTTATCCTCACTAACATGCCCAGAGACAGTCAGTGCCTTAGAACATGTGTATTTGACCAAAGAGATGATTTGTGCATTTCAATGAAGAGCTGCTCAGCCAGAGCCATATCTGCCCAGTCAAGGCCACAGAAGGCTAATGACAGCTACAATTCAGTAACCACCCACACCAGTCCAAAACCACTGACATGACACAAGACTGGCACACATACTTAGTGATGACAGTGGTGGGTGACTATCTTTCTTCTTTAAAAACATCATTGGTTTTCCAAAAACTCAAACAAATTTATGAAAGTGATGACAATGGTGAAATAAGGACACAAAGAAGTGCCTTGGTACAATCCACAGATACACCATTCACATGCGAGAAGGTTCTATCAAATCTTTCTTTGGATTTGGAAAGAATAGAAAATGGAAACTCAAGCAGGAGACCACAAGGGGGTAGAAAGAGGTGAAGGAAGGTTAAGACGGATACCTAAAACAGCTCCACAGGGCAAAGACCTCCTCTGGCACATAATCCTTTCACAGAAGGCCACTGCTGAGCTGGCCTTGTGCCTTCAGACGACGCTGTGCCTGATGCAAAAACCTGAGCTCTAGGAACACTATGGACAGACACCACAGCAACTGTCTGGGAGTTAGCCTAAAAACTTAATTCAGAGCAACAAAATGCACTGGACTCACGCTAGGTCCTGTGAATCCACTGGAATATCTTTGCACCAGACTGCAAAGAGTTTACACAGTCCCGCGGTCCAGCAGGAGCTATGATTTCAGGCTCTGTACCACAAGAAAATAAGCAAACCAAATCCAGACCTGAGCTGGCCTTGAAAGCCATCCAGTGAGGACATCTGAACTCAGAACTCCAGTGGACCCACACAGGCTTTGCCTGGTACCTGCTCAGCTCAGACAGTTGTTTCCTCCAGAAGCTGCATCTAGAACCAACTGCGTGATTGTTAAGGGAACAGACGTGTCCTGATGGCTATTTCTTGTCTACATTTGAGAAGACCTAAAAAATATTGTTATTCCTGCCATGCTCACTTACCACTTTGTGTTTTGGCTTTGTCATAGAAACTTCCATTTCTTCAGCACCTGAATTATCACTGGGAGAGCCAGATCTAAAATCCATCATCTCTTCCTCTTGTTTTTTGAGGCTGTCTGCTACTGTTTGGATGGCTTTTGTCCATTCTTCCCTGGCAAAACATAAGCAAAGATATTCGTTACTTGTGACTTTAGATCACCATCTGCCATGGCAAGGGTCACCCAGGAATACAGAGCAACTAAAGCTCTTTGATGAATCACTGCAACATACAATGAATTATGTGCATTTTTAAGCATGGTAAAAAATGCATTTTTAGGAGCACTTTTGACATACATCTTTATTAATCGTACTAGAATCCAGAGACAACTGAAGTCCTCCCAGTTTGGATACAACATCAGGCTTTTCAGACAACAAAATTTCTAATAAGCATTCTGTCAGCAGCTCAAGATTTGACCTGGTGATACAGAGATTTACATGACAAAACCAGACTTGCCAAAACCAAGAAGCAAAAGGCTCCCATGCAGCACAAAGCAATTAAACACAGCTTCTCCATTCCTACGGCGCACTGAAACACATATATCCAACTGCTGGGGGCACTATGCCACCTCTTCGCACATATATCCCAAATTTTAATGGCAAGGAGTGTTCTAGGAAAAGATATTAAAGCCCAGGATACTTAGGTTATTCCTCTGTTGTAGAGATGATGACAGCAGTACAGCAGCTCCTGTGTAAAGTAAAACTCCTGTGTAAAGTAAAGTAAAGCAAAAGCAGTGACATTCTATCTTAGGCACAGGTCTTGGTTGCAATAAGGTTTCCACAGCTGTTTGAGCAATGTGTGCTCTAATACTGACCCACTGATCCCTGTGGAGACCACTTCCACTCCAGTGTCCTTTGGGAAATTTCACCCCTTTGGAAATTACTGAAGTGAAAGTTCTTGGCCTTCATTTAATTGCCAATTTATTGAACATAAAGCATACAACTCATAAGGGTTTACAGGGATGGGCTTTAAAGTAAACAGGGGCTGAAGACATGTTCAGCGGACTATGTGAATTTACCACGTTTTACTGCCTTTTGTATCTGTAGGGAACGGGACACTGTGGTTTAGTTGACATTTTTTGGGCACTGGCTACACTTTTCTCCCAAGGACATCTCAGGTAAAATACTTTGCTACTACAGTAGGTACAGGAGCCAATGCTGAACACTCCATGTGCAATCTGCAGTGAAGCCATGCCACCCTAATCAACGTCATATTTTTCACTGGTTCTATGAGATTATACAGGGAAATAACAGGTTAAAAACTAAAAATTGTATCTGAACATGTGAATTTCAGTTTGTGATGGGTGGAAGAGGCAGATCATTCCACAGAGACAGCAAAGTCCACTAGAAAAAGTACCCAACACAAGATTCTAATAAAAACTGCATTAATTACGCATAAGAACTTGCCCACCCTGTGCACTTTTTATTTTGTATTTTGTCTGAACAGGCACTATCCAGCCCTGTCTGGGGCAGCAAGGTAATGCTAAACATTCTGAACATTCTCCCTACGTTCCCAGCAGAGACTTCTTCATTCGCCATCACAAACACATTCCTTTATTTGCTAGTAATTTTTCTTATTAAAAACTACTACAAAAAGAACTTTATCTTCTGTATTTTTATCTCTCCATCTCTCTCAAAAAACAAATGTTGCTATTTAAGACACAGGGAAGTCTAAAGGCATAGCTACTTTCACATCACTTTTAAGGTTTGTTACTGACTTCGTTAAGATCTTGGCCCTCCTGAAGTGAATCTCTTTGATTTCTGGGAGACCAGAATTTCACCCTCAGCTTTTATGTCTCAAGCGTACACAACAGAGGTGACTAACACCGTGAGCCCTGAAGTGTCACAAAGCTGACTTAATTGGCTAGGAGGGAACAAAACAAGACTGAAACACAATCTTCCCCCAAGTGGAAACTGTTATTCATTCCCTTTAGGGTCACTGACACGAAGCTACTAAAGGAAACAAGGACCAGTTTATTTTTCTTTGCTTTTAATTTGATTTCACCTTCTTCTGATCATTGTAATAGAATCAAAAGCAACAAACCAGACCCTTTTTCAAATAAGTGCATGCAAAGGCTACGAAAGAAAAAAGCAAAGAATATTAGGTAGAATTTGCTGATCTTAAAAAGAAACATGTGCCAGTATCATATCTAGGGAGGACAAGGGTTTTAAAACACCCCTTCCCCTAGGGCAATGGTACTGGAATAATTTGAATTCAGTTCCTGAAGAGCAAGTAAATATTTAAGTACTCCGCAGTTGTAGAATAGCTACACTGGGAAACTGTTCTCCCAGGAGGTAAGAGATCAATTCTCCAATGATGAGAGCACAGGATGCGTGCTCTTAGCTTTGTTTCCTAACAGCTGAAACAGAAATCTGCACCTGCAGCAGATAACTATCACCTTTATTATCTAATTTGCATAAAACATTAGCAATCAGCAATGATACAACTAATTTTTTTCCTTTAAAAACAAGGTGTCTAAAAAGGCTTTAAAAGGTCAGTATTTTGATACAACCCAGCTTTGCCTGAATCTCTATTTTACTTGGGCTCATCCTTCCAGAAGCTCCCAGGTCAGAAGCCCTTCACTTCACATACCACAACATTTCCAGAGAGAAACGAACTCTGAGCTTCCAGAAATAACTACCTGTGTGCTGGTACACACCTGCACCTGTCCCTTTTGGATACCCAACCTAGCAACATTTTACTTACAAATACTACTCAAGATCCACTCTCTGAAACCCCTGTTAAGGTACCTTTAATACTGGAACATGCACTAAAACTGAGCTGTTCAGAAACTGTCACTTTTCAGTCTAGATTTACATCATCTGACAAATAAGAGCTTCAGAAAAAGACTTGCTATTAATGCCGAACACTTGCATCTGCTTTTGCAAGTAGTTTATGTATTAAATATGAATGAAACATACCGCTCCTCTGGAGTCTCCACATGAAATGTTCTTTCAATTACTGTGGTCCACTGGAGGCATCTAATGATAAATGTGTTTGGTTTAGGTCGTTCTGTCTTCATCAGCTGGCACTCTACCACAATCAAGGAAGAAAGAGTCATAGTACATAAGCAGGTTTAAACAATGATTTGTCTTTATTCTTATCTAGCAAACTGTTGCAATTAATCAGCCACAGAAATCTCTGTAAGTACTTCTTTAGGAGACTTAAGACAATTTACTGTGTTGATGAAACCAATAAATAGCTTGGGAGATAGTCATCTAAGCAGCACCGAAATCAAATTTTGCTTAGACAGGCTCCCCATTTAGTCTGCCCAGAGAGGTAAGTACAAATGTGATGTGACGACACAGAAGCCATTCAGATTCAGGTCCTACACGCCAAAGGTCATCCAGAGCAGAGCACACGGACAAAGTCAGCTGATAATGCAGCAATTACATCCACTGAAACTGAAGCCAAGCCCCCACGTTCCCTCCCTTTGACTTTCCCGACATAAAACCCCGTCCTTGGCTTTTAAGGAGTTGTTAGAGAGCGTGTTTGGTCATTTCACAGCAACCTGACAAAGATTAGACTCAGCATTTCCATTCCTCAAACACTAGAGGGAACATCAAACTGCAGAGGTACCCCCAGAAAAGACCCTGTTCAAAACGCCTTTGTGACAGCTGCGGCAGAGTCGGATGCTGTACGGACACGCAGCTAACAGCTTCCATCACTGCTGGTATTTAAGCACAACCTAAAAAGGCTAGAGAAGTATAGCTACACGAAAAAACACCACTTCCTTCATAATAATAGTCTTTTGAGAGCTGAGCATTATATTTTTTAAAAATAACACCTACTATTTCAGACTTCATAGGCTGTTACGAATATTTATCTTTCAAATTTGGGCTTGAAAATACACCTGATGAAGAGTATGCTAGCTACACTAAAAGAGAAGACCTGAAACCCAAAAGAAAATCAGTGAAACAACAGAAGCCAAAACGCCACATTTTTTCAGATTTATATTAATAGAAAATATAATGCTAATTAAACAGCTCCTGTCAAAGGAAAGTCAAATTAAGAAGCCAAGTGAGCAGGGGAGAAAGGGAAAAAAAAAAAAAAAAGGAGAGATAATTGGTTTTCTTTTCTTACATTAAACTCTTTTCCTTGCAGTTAATGAAACCACAAGCTTGCTATTATTTGGTCTTCAGGTTCTAAATCAACTTCCAAGTAAATAAAAAGGCACTACGAAGACAAGAAGAAATTTCTGCTTACTGCTACAGCTATGAACATCCTACCATCAGCGATGTGCAAGCCGAGGACAGAATCCAGCCAGAATAACAGTGCACGTTACTAAGGCTACACTGGTATCGTTAGGTTAATTTTATTATTGTGAACATTTAGAATGCTCAGTTTTAAATTCAAACTCTTAATTAGCACCAAGATAAAATATTTACTGCCAGTGTTTTTGGGAGCCGTATTTCTGGCAATATATTTCATGCCTCATTTGCTACTGGAATTATAAGCTTTTCAATGAGTAACTTTGCATTTTTCATGATGAGAAAATCTTATTTTTCTTTAATAGCACGCTGAGGTTACACTACATCCTAATAAAGCACTGCAATTAGATTAGAGAAAGTTTATTAATGAATCATGAAAAGGTTTTAGTGTGCTAAACGGCACTCCTTCATTCACCGAGATTAAAGAACTTCCACAGAGTGACGCAGCCGTGCTTGCAGAGCGCCACATTTAGCCTTCCAGTGACCTCCATCCTCTTTTTGCAGAATGGCACCTAGGGCCGAACACAACTGCACAAGCTGGCGCAGGCCAGTAAGCCCAGTTTTGACAAATTCAACTCAAGAGATCTACCCGGATTGCCCACCTTAACTTAGCTGCTGTTCTTTTTTTGTTGTTGTTGTGTGTTTGCTCTGTCTCCCATTTTTGTCTGCTTAACATGATTAGATTAAGGCTGGGGCTGTCCTCTATGAGCCTGCACAACAAAGCTCTAATGGATACTGGATTTGGCTGAAGACTCGAAGAAGAAAATCAGGCTATTTCTAACCTCGTGCTAATCCAGAGATCTTCTCCTCTACTTATCCAGAAGCGCAACGTGATGAAGAAATACACTGAGAGGTTTTGCTTACTTTTTTAAAACAGCCTTTAGATTCACATTTAGTACCTCAGAGTATTTACTCTGAAGTAGCAGCACAGATATTTAAACTAGCCATGAACTCTAAACTTTAACCATTTAATTTCAACATAATAAACCACACAAGGCATTTTTTGTCATTCAAGGGGACCAATTAAACAACAGCACTTTTCCCCTAAATCAGCACTGTCCATTGATATTTGTTAAGCTTGCTGATCCAGCAATCTTTAAGGCATACAGCAAGATGAATAATAGAGATTTGTCAGTTAATAACCACTATAATTCAAGTATGTCACATCGAAGTGTTTTGTTTAGTGAACAATATGCTGTCTAATTACCCTGCTCAATCATAACAGCACATATCAAGAAATACAGAAGGCTTTATTTTTAAATTGCTTTACCAAAGTGCTGTACCATATAGGTTTCAGAAAGTTTGACACTACCACGTAGTTCTCCCAATATACAACAATTGCGTGGATTTCATCAGCAAAACGATGAAGCAGTAGGTTTTTTCTTACTTTTAAAACTGCCTCTGTGCTCTTTACGGTAGTTGGCAAGGGACAGAAGCACCAAACCTGCCTTCTATAATCATGTACCACAAACACACACCACTACAGCAGAGCATAGATACAGATACTGGGTCTGATTCATGGCATGTTTGGGGGTTCTGCTATAAAAACATTCACACTTCAAATACAGGCTGAGGGTCGCTTACCCACTTTGAAGACAGTTTTTGCTGTCAAACAGGCACACCTAAGTATTCCTCGTTTGCAACAAAGTAAGTACTATGAACAGCAGCCTTTAAAAATGATTTAAATTGCTCTAAAGAACCTCTTGATTCTTTCCTGGCATTTGGTCTTTTAAAGTAAGTAGGACAGAGAAATTGTTCCTAACAGGAATAGACACCAAGGCATTCAAATGTAAATTACCATTTTGTATTTGAAAGACACTTAGTATTATCCAAGTGACTTTATAAAATGTCACAATATTTGCTTCCCCAGCACTTAAACTAAAAGGCAGATTATTTGCGATGAAAGTGTCAAGCTCTGCTCCCTATGTAATGACATCACACTTTAAAACAATAATATCAAGGAAGAATCCTTCAAATCTTTAAGGAAGGGGATAGGGGGAAAAAAAAAAAAAAAAGAAAAAAAGGTAAAGTACGCAAGAAGAATTATGAATAAATAAAACTCTGGAAAAGCGAAAAGAAGTATTATGCTGAAGTGCTCTTTTTCTGGTAGCACCACTGGACAGATTCGCCCCCAAAAAGCTCAGCATGGCAAAAGGGAGGAGCTGGGAGCCCCGAGTTACAGACCTGGACCAAGGTGGCCCCTAGTAACAGCAAAGAAAATATACCCACTAATCTGGCCATCCCGTGCCCTCTGAGAAATGCCTGACTGCACACACACAGTCCCAAAAGGAGCACTTAGATTGTTGAGCAATTATGTTTTCAGCTGTACGACAAAACTACCACAGCCCACCCTCCTTTTTGACAGTCGGTGAAATAATCCCTTGTTTCTAACAGGAATAGCCTCTCCTTCCATGTGGTTTTTCACAACATACGGCTCTTCTGAGCTATATGGTTTTAAAGGCTTATAACCTAATAGGCAGACATACATGATAATCCAAGATTACGATTGGTATGAAGGCTACTTATCTCGCAGGTTTACAACACAGGCTCTATTGGTTATTTATCTGCAGGGTCTCTGGAGCAGAACTATTTAGGCACAGACTTTTTTTATTGCTTCTATCTTACTAGTGGTGAAATACAGAACACGAACACAAATATGGCTCAAAAAAATCACAGTTAAATGCTCATCCACCACCTTTCAGAAGTTTTGCTATATTTGGTTGGGGTTTTTTTTAAGCAAATCACCAATAGGTAACTTCCAGGCAAAATAAACTCCTTAAACATATCATTAAATTACAAACATAGATATATAGCTATATTAAATGGAAAATTAGTTGGAGAAAAAGGCACTTCAAAAAAAAAGTGAGCCTCTCCTTACCCACGGGCGGGCCCTATAAGCAAGCTTTCAAAGATGCATGATCAAAACCCTCACAGACTGAAAGGAAAAGGCTTGTGCAGAGAATAAAGAGACTGTTAAGCACATGGAAAGCACACTCTGTATTTATTGCTAATACTTTCTCATACCTGTTAAGTGAAAAGACAAAACAACATTGGATTTTATCTTTCACGTTTTTCTCCTGAATTATTTCCTACCTCTCATGAGTTGACAAAATCACTTAATATGAATTTTACACTACCCTAGTCATGAAAAACCTTTTATTTGCAAAGACAAAAAAGCCTACGTTATCTTACAACAGAAGAGGGTAAAGATTCTAATCAGAAACACGGGACCACTTCCAAAGAACAGACTGGCAGAGACAGCCTGTCATCTCATTAAAAAAAAACTAGTTCACTAATTAACAAAAGAGTCAAGGCTATCATAGTCCCTTAAAAAAAAAAAAAAAAAAAAAAAAAGAAAAAAAAAAGAAGAATAATTTTTACAAAACATTTAAGCTAAATTCCCCCCACCTTTCACTGGCAGGAGTTTCTGTAGGCTGCCTCTGCAGCACAAGTCTGAGTTCTGGCCTGAGCCTTCCTCCAGAGACAGCTTGAGTTCACTCATGCTAAATCGCCGAGTTAACCCAAATGTAGTACCAAGCAAGCAGGTTCACAGGGAAAACTTGTGGTGCAAAACACATCCAAATGATACAAGTGTGAAGGGTACCCAGAAGGAAACTGCACATCAGGTGCTGGCAGCACTGCATGCCAGCACCAACATGAGAAATTAAATCCTGGTGGGGCAACAGCTGCTTCAGTGAGCCCAAAACCACAATAATGACTCCTAGCAAGGAGGCCTCCCTGTCATCATCAAAGCCTTCACGACCTGCCACCGGTTCACTAGGCAAGAGCCAATGCTAGGAACATCCTTCCACCCACCACCCTCCCTGCAATCCCTCTCATAGGGGCTACACCTTATTCTATAGGCATGTGTTGCGTGTTTTTCAACAATGCTCCGATACCATGGTAACAAATTTGTTTATCTATAAATGCCAAGACTGATGGGCTCAATCTACCAAAAAAAGCAACATATTCCTGTTGTGAAAACCAATTTATGTTAATGCTTTCTGAAGGCAACTTGGACAAAGAGAAGGCAAGGGAAACATCTTTTTTTTTACTCCTTAGGACTGAGCTGCAGTAAATAATTATTCCAAGTAATGCAGTTAGCAACAGGATGGAACTGTCCTGCAGAAAGTACATTTGCTAAATAGCCTCTGGCTACAGACCAAGTAATTAATTAATTTATGAATTAATGGCTTTTGCTGCTTTCCTTTACCTTCTTGATCTATAAGAAGATACCAGTCTAAAGAGGAAAGTACTGTATCATTACCAAAATGAAAATACTATGACAATTCTCACTCTAAAATGAGACAAAAAAACCCAAAGCGCTTTTGGTTTCCTGCACAGAGGCCCTGGGCAACAGCATGTCCATTATTTATTCCCATCATCAGTCAGAACAGGTGTATGTTGTTACCAGTGGAAAAAAAAAAAAAAAAAAAAAAAGAACATTTGCATTAATTCCTAGTGCTGCCCAGCCCTCTTCCGGGCCCAGGGTGCTTCAAAATAAATCTGTCTGCTTAAAGGTCAACTACAAAGATGAACCCCATATATTTCAAGCTACCCCGTACCGAAGAGGGAAAGCCTCTACCCTTCTCTCTGCAGAATTTCATTTCCCCTAGTCACCAGGATCACAGAACAGATCGTTGTTAATAGCAGGTGCCACAATGATCTATTTTTAAGTGGTGGAACGACATACAGGCAGATCATGAGACAGGAAAGATTAAGAACAGGAGAAAATAAAAGCTGGAAGTATACAGCATAAGGTTAAAAACATGAGCAAGAAAAGGAAATTATCTTCAGAGCCTTCTATCACATCCTGTGCTGCAGCACCTGAACAAAGTCGGAAATGTTTGCACAGGACAGAATGCAGAGGTTAGGAGATGTTATTATTTCCAAATCCTTTCATTGGCTCTAATAGAAGAAATATGGTTTTGTGTTCAAAATTAAGAAAAACTGAGTGTCTTTCACTAAAAGCAGTGCTCACTCTGTGTTCTCTTATGCTAACGATTAAATAACTTCGACCTACATCAATGCCACTTGAATCCACATCTGGTGGCAGAACAGAGGCTGAAATGCTTCAGCTGTGCCCATCTTCGAAGTACAAAGACACACACCTGAGTTACTTTTCTCTTTAAAGCAACTTGCTGAATAGCAGACATACAAAATATTAACAAATAAACCTGTTTTATTCTATAATCAGAAATGGTAAATTAGTAGAAAACTGCAAAAAAAGCAGAGCATCAAACCTCCACATCACAATCATTACTGAGAAACAGAGGGGTTTTTTTTTAATAATTTCAAATAAACACATTTAGTGTTTAAGTCCATTGGTCTGGGCAGATTTGAATGTTATTGATGCACCTTACTGGTACTATGATCACAAGAAGACATCAACCCCCAAACTGGATGAAGGAGCATGTAAAAAGCACTTACGAGCTACTGAGAAGTTATTTAAAGGTGTTTCCCGCTGGTCGACATCCTGCGGTCGTTCCTTGTAGCCAATGAACGTGCCATCGTTCTTTAAAAGAAAATACCGCGGCCTCCATGTTTTTATGTACTCTCCTGGAAAGGAAAGATGGGCAAAGGGAGAGAACATCAGAAAATACCCTGAAATACTGACATGTCAATATTTTTTTTTTCAGTATCAAAACTATATGTCATCCTGATATAGCAGTAGTTTTAAGAACATTCAGTTCATTCTGATACAAACAGTGGAAAAATACAGGCACTGAGTCAGATATTGCTAGCAATGTTAACCATAAAAATGGGACTTCATAATAGGTAAACAGCTATGTTTTTTCTTCCATCTACCCCGCTTTCCATTCAAATTCTGCAACATCTGCCTTAAATGCATTTTAAATTTTAAAAAAAATCAGAGCAGATGTCCTATGTATTATTTTTGCTATTGTCATTTTTCATACTGACAAGTGGAGAAATTTTTTTCATTTACATTTTGCAGCGCAAGTATTTTAAACAACAATGGGTAATTTACTAATTAGTCAACTGCTTTATCAAACCAACAGTCACTTTTAGAACATAAGAAGATAATTCTCTGCTTAAGTTACATAACATCACTCACTCCTCTCACAACATCTCAAGCATGAAACACGAGATGATATATCACAATATGAAGGGGAAAACACTGGGTGATCTATAGCGAACACAAAGATGAAAAAAAACATTTATTCCGAGATACATTCCACCTTTCTTTGTCAGAGAAAACATCCCTTGCTCACACCATGGTACTGCCCTGCAGAGGTGACAGTTGCGTGACCGCCTTACAGACATGTTCAACATCTCCAGCAGCAGAATAAAAAGAAAAGAGTTGACCAAAACCTCAGTTTTTTAATGGATTTACTCAGTTGGGCTTCAGGGAAGGAAGACAGGTTCCACCTGTGCCTCTTCTGGGTGACACTGTCAATGTGTGCCTCAGTTTCACCCCTTGCTTGTTGCCCCTGTTGTCTTCTTCTCAGCCAGTCTCTCCAGAACCTCAAATCACAAAAGCCTCACTCAAGGTGCTATTCTAATCAGCATACCAGCCACAATTCTCCAAGTTCGCTCACCTCAGCAACAACTGATTTAAAAAAATAAAAAAGAAGTGCTCACTACCAAGCACGCACAGCTGGGATGCAGCTGTACCCTCCTCCATCCAGTATGTTTTCTCACTTGTTTGTTCAACATCAGGGAGAGGACGAGGGAGCAGACAAGGAGCCAAACTTCTTTCGGGTCTGCTGCAGCAGGAGCACACCTGTGCACCCCACGAGACTGCCCCTGCAACGACTGGTACCCAGCACCGACAGTTTCATCTGCTGGTGAGCTCTTCAAACAACCGCCAAGAGGAGCAAGAAGAAAAGGCTCCCCAGATTTATTGGCTCTGGCAAACCTCTGCTGCTCTCCTCTCAGGCTCTGCTCACGCCCTCTCTTCCTGCTGCTCAGCTCTTCTCTGCCGGTAATTTCTCTCCCAGCGATGTGCACCCTGCCCCAGGAACTCCCCTGCAGCTGCTTTGCCTTATTCCTCTCCCCACAGACCTCCTCTCCTTCTGCAGTGCAGTTTCAACCTGCTTCAGGCACCAGCTGTGTCACTTCTCCATTCAGACTCATACTTTTCTCTCCTGCACACAGAAGCACAAGCAACCCCAACGCCCAAGCCATGCGGCCATGGGCACAAGCACCTCTAGCTGCTGCTTTCACCTGTTTAGCCCTCGTTAGGCTTTTACTTTTCTAATCTAAAGCAAAAAAATAAGAGTTAATGAACCAAAGGGGAGAGTCACACAGAGCTACCCCACCAAAGCAGCCAAGTCTGCAGAAAACATCCATTTGCACTGATGAAACGGGGCATGGGGCAAGAGATGAGAGAAAAAGCAATGAGCACAAACCCATTCAGTTACAGATTATTTTTACAGCTACAAGCATTATACTAACCTAATAAGGGGTTTACAAAATGTCATTGTTGCTTTAGGAATTTCAGAAGAAGTCACCTATAGCTGTCATGACTTAACATTTATAAGCAAGGCAGTAAATGTAGGGTTTGTTGCTGTCGTCTTTTTAATTCTGACCTTAATTAAAAACTGAAAACTTTCTGGGATCAGTAGGAGATTATGAAGCCTTTCACATTTAAATCATCAGTCCAACTCAACCCAGATCCATGAGATTACTCCAATCTCATTACTATTACACCACAGATGTGACAACAGGGACAAGAAGATATATGGCGTGGTCAGCCTAGCTCTTTGCCAAGAGGTTTGCCAGGTAAGCAGGTTGGGGAGGCGGCTGCCTGGACTATCATGATTTTGGAACGCATTGTTACAAAGCTACTCATTGGTATCTTCCTCTCTTGCATAAAGGAGACCCAGAAGACCTAGGAACTATCACATACCCCTTTATCATACCTGCACTTAGGACTAAATACAAATTGGATGGGACAAAAAAATATCTGAAAGAGAGTTTCCACTGCGCTTACTCCCTCATCTACACTACACGTCTTCCCTGTTGGTATTTACAGAAGAAACATTTATTTTTTGCAGATTCTGAAATTATTAGCTGGCTATTTTCACTTAAGTATGCATATTTTTATACAAAATAACACTGCACTGTCACAAGAGACGGCTTCTCTTCGATTAGATGCTTATGCTTATCTCTTATACTTTCTTACAGCTTTATTCCACTTTTCTGTTTCTCTGTTAGAAACCCATCACCTAACAGGATTAATCAGCCTTTAAAATGGTGTATTCCATACATATACATAGCATTCCCTCCACACTCTTAAAAAACTCTTTCTGTGTGAAAAATCAAGGATTTCATTACTGACAGGCATTTTGCAAGGACCATTCTACTTGGCCCTTTCCTTATCCGTTGCTTTAGCTGGTTCTGGTTGCTGATCCACCTTTTTAATTTGCAAATAAGTAACATGATTTTAAACTTCTTTTTCCATATGTCTGGAGCTTAATGAATCCTGTAATATGGCAACCATACATATTATTGATTATTGCTCTTGCCAAGGACAGTATGAGGCATACTACAGCATCTGTGGTACAAATTTTACTATAACACACTGAGGTTTTACTTCTGTATCTTGCATCAAAGTGGCAAGACACTGCCTGGTGTGTGACCTCCCAATGAGATAATCTGTAAGTACAATTTTACATTCAAGCCTGAGCAAACTATTGTTCCTCTACAGAAGTTCTGAAACACAGATTCACCAACAGAGTCACTGAGAAAACGCACAAAGTTCATATTCTTAAGAAACAAGTTTATATTTTTTATTATTAGCTAAAACACTATAAACTTCCTACAACCTGTGAGGAGGACCACATTGATCACAACAGCAAATCCAAGTATCTTAGGCAGAAAAGGAGTTTGTCAGTACAGACAAAAAATAATTACGTGGAACCACTGGGACAAAGCTGACTGAAAAACATTAACACCTTTTCCTTCCTCTGATATACTTAATAAGCTGTCATGCCTGAAGAGTGAACTGAGCTGTTTCAATTTTTGCCCTGCGTTTTTTGTTCCTGTTGCGGTTTTGTTTTTAAGAATCATATCCAAGAAGTTACTTGAAGTCACTAATATTAGTAGTTATGTAGTCACACTAGAAGAATTGTGCCGAGTACAGTAAATGCAAGCATGTGTGTCAAATTCTATCAGACAACACTAAAAAAATAATAATAATGATCCACCATGGAAAAGTGAACAATTTACAAAGCAAAACATTTTTTCCTCTGTGATTCATTGCTTGTGTAATGCCCTGGCAGAGCCTTCTTTGTTTTCACTAACAGAATGCTAACACTGCAGAGACAGGAAAGCAAAAGCATGGGTTATAAATCCTACATATAAAATCCTGGAACCAAATAGACTCGTCTGTAGATTGCTAGCTTTATTATTTAACATCTTTATGTACCATTCTGTTTACTCCAAGCAATTTTCAAATTGCAAAGATTCACCAACTGTATATATCTGGAAACATACACAAAGATTGTTACAGACCGATTTCCCTTTATTGCCTTGTGTCTGCCCCCACACACTGCACATTAAAATACTTAACACACACTCAGAATGTAAATCCATCTCATGCCAGAAAAAGCTTTTTCACAGTAACACATACTGCAAAGCACGCTTATGCCTGAATATTTCAGAAAAAGTTAAACACAAAACTCTTCTGGTTCATGAAAAGTTAATTCTACTGAGGATTTACAATAATGCAGGGTTAGGTTATTTTCCTCTCTCCCTGCAACAGTATCTCACCGAATCTGGAGCTGTCTACCACTGATAGAGTGTCTAACATCAGAAACAGCTGCCACTCCCTGGGAAGCTCACGGGGTAAGTGGAGAATAATGAGCAGCAAGCACCAGAAGAACAAAAGAAAATCCATCTTTATTTACCAACTGCTGCATGCTTGTTGCTGCATCAAGCTCATTCAAAGCCAACACCACACCCTTTAATTCAGAACAGACTATATTTAAGAAGCCTCTGCTTTTTTTTTTAATCAACTCATACATACCAATGGTTTGAAAAAAAAAATCATTAGGTTAACCAAGTCAGCATCCAATGATACCCCTGATATTTACAAAAGCACTGGACCAATATTAACTTTCTTATGCCCCAAAGTAACCAGAACGAGCCCAGGAGCACCAACTGAAAACAAGGTCTCGGCTATACTAAATGCACTCAAGTGGCTACCACAAATCTATGGATAAATAATGTATTAAACTTTCTGCTCTGAGCATGAAAAGTAGCGCCATCAGTTACAATTAAGGTTAACACTCAAAATATTAGAGCCTTTCAGTTATGCAAGCCTTCGCTACGTTCCCACATGCTCCGAAGATGTACAACATTCCTTGACTGTACAGCCCTGAACCATCTGAGGGGAACACAAAAGTTATGGCAATCGCAGTGCTTATGTGCCACCGGTCAAAGGCGGAATGACTCATTTCTGAGACTTCAATGGCTGCAAGAAGTGGTCTGCATCCTGTCGGCCTAGTAAGGTTTCGGCGAAACAGATGCCAGCTTCCCTAAAGGCGTGAACCTTTCAGGAGCTGCCATCTCATGTGCGCTGAAGAGCGG